TACCTGTGCATCCAGTGCAATTAATAAAGTGTATGGATCATCCAGTGTGAGCGATGAGGATCTCCTAACTCTTTGTTTTGTTGGAATAATATGACTACCTCTGATGAACAATGGGATCTATGAATAATTAATTAATTAATTAATTAATATCAATGAATAATAATGAGAAGTACTTTAGACAGAGGGGCTGTCACGTGCTGTCTCCTTCCTCCATTATGAGCGGTCTGGTCATCATAATCATACCATAACTGAAAAATAAAATACAATAAATTGCCACTTGTCTTCCCCCTCTCTCCCTCACTGTGCTGGTTCCAGGTAGGTATAACTGAACATAGTTAGCTCCTTCATCCATAACTGGCCTCACCATCAGTCCTGATCCTAATGGAAGGACCATAAGAGACCTTTATCTTCTCTATCTCTTTAACTTACCAATCATTATCTGGTCCTCAATATTGTAAGTGTTCTTATCACGAGGGAACTCCAACCATAACGGCCTAAACAGAAAAGAGAAATTACTAGCGCTGGAAATACTAATATACACGTATATGTATGTACACATGTACATGTACATGTACTTTTCGATTCTGATAATATCAACAATAAATCGAAAAATTTAAGTCGGAATCACCTCAAACTTCCTACATTACATAAGTACATCAATATATATCAGAAAATGTAATAAAAATTGGGGGTGATTTCGGAGCCATTTTTTGGAAAAAACCATGGGCTATAGCCTTGGGCAATTTTCAAAACCTGGCCGATTTCTTAAAATGGCCATAACTCAGAAATGTTAAGTCAGAATCAGCTCAAACTTTCTACACAACATAAGTACATCAATATGCATCAGAAAATGTAATAAAAATTGGGGGTGATTTCGGAGCCAATTTTTGGAAAAAAGCTTGGGCTATAGTACAGGAAATTTTCCGAAATTGGCTCATTTTTAAAAATGGCAATAACTCGAAATATTTTAGTTGGAATCACCTCAAACTTTCCACAGAGCATAAGGACATCAATATGCATCAGAAAATGAAATAAAAACTGGGGGTAATTTTGGGGTCATTTTTTGGAGAAAAAGCATGGGATATAGCCTTGGGTAATTTTCAAAAATTGGCCGATTTCTTAAAATGGCCATAACTCAGAAATGTTAAGTCAGAATCAGCCCAAACTTTCTACACAACATAAGTACATCAATATGCATCAGAAAATGTAGTAAAAATTGGGAGTGATTTCGGAGCCATTTTTTTGAAAAAAGCATGGGCTATATATAGTACTGGGAAGTTTTCAGAAATTGGCTCATTTTTAAAAATGGCGATAACTCAAAATATTTTAGTTGGAATCAGCTCAAACTTTCCACAGAGCATAAGTACATCAATATACATAAGAAAATGTAATAAAAATTGGGGGTGGTTTCGGAGCCATTTTTTAGGAAAAAGCATGGGCTATAGTATTTTTTCATACTTAATTATATTAAACACTTATTCAAGCACAAGTTCCATCCTTCCTTACCTAGCGACAGGTAGTCCGGAGATGTGGCTCTGATAAAAGAGAGTATACCAATATGGGAGGAGCTTATATCGGAGCCGCAATGCTTCATGAATCACGTTCCTATTTTCCTCATCCATTAGATAGGGCTCACGCCTCTTAGTGTCAATATGAGCATGTGCTCGAAAGAAAGGATAAAAGGAGCCAGCCTATAATAATAATAATAATAATAATAATAATAATAATAATAATAATGATAATAATAATAATAATAATAATAATAATAATAATGACAATAAATGAATATCAAATACCTCCTACCTGATACCATCTTGCAACAAGCTCTTGTCCAGGGTCTTTAATTTAAAGAACCCGCCCACATCCGCCCCCACAAAAGGTAGCCCAGCCACACCCACTGAGAGTACCATTGGCAAGGAGGCCCTGAGGTGGTCCCATGCTGCCACATTGTCCCCAGTCCATATAGCACCTATAGAAACACCTCTCCTTGAAACCAGACCGGTGGGTTTTTAAGGGTTTTACCATAGCGCTGGCTCCCGGCAAAGAAAGCTCTTGAGAGAACAAAAGGTCTTTCTCTTCCACCACTCCTCATCTTGTGACCTTCATAAGTAGCACTGTGCTGTGGAGGAGGGAGAAAGAAAGAGAGAGAGGGGGGAAAGAGAGAGAGGGGGAGGAGAGAGAGAAAGAGAGGGGGGGAGAGAGAGGGGGGGAGGAGAGAGAGATGATTCAAAATATAAAACAATGTCTAGTGTATTGCTCCTCTATTTCTTTTATAGTTATGTGTCAAGACTTCCCAAACCAGGAGAGACTATTGCTGGGCGGAGCTTCAGTCAAGGTTTTGGAGGGAAGGGAGCCAATCAGTGCATAATGGCAGCACGTCTTGGCTCATCAACAGCAATGGTGGCTAAACTAGGGAATGACAGCTTTGGTCGGAGCACAATTGAGAACTTCAATACAAACAAAGTCAACGTAAATAAAAATAATTATAAATATTAATGGTTGCACTTGCTTAGGTTGATCATGTTGGTATTGTTGATGAGAGCCAGTCTGGTGTCGCTCAAATAACAGTTAATGATGAAGGTATGACTAATTGTCATATATTATTGTTTTAGTTGATTCCATAATGTTTTTGAAATTAGTATCCCAAGTTTTAAAATGTACCCCCAATTTTCATTACACATTATGTGACCTGTAAATTATATACACAAATGTATGCGCACATGTAGTAAAAATTTATTATGATAGGAGAAAACTCCATTGTAATTGTTAGTGGTGCTAATAATCACTTAAATGATGAGGACCTTGGATCTGCAAAGGAGATGATATCAAGGGCTACAGACTACAGTATTAGTGTGCCAATTGGAAATATCACCAGAGATGACACTTAATGCTCTCAAACTTGCTAAAGAGACAAGAGAAGGTTTTAAACTAATTTCAATAGCATAATTATGAACTTCACTTATGTATAGACTCTGCCGCTACCACAACTATATTTAATGCTGCTCCTGGCCTTGCTGGACTAAAAAAGAGTTTTATAAATACTCTGACATTTTGTGTGTGAATGAAACAGAGGTATATGCATCTTTATAAACCAGGAACTAGCATTGATTTCTAGGCTGAATTATTATCTGGAGTATCAGTGACTGACAGAGCCTCAGGTGAAAATGCTGTTCTATCTTTGCAGAACGAAGGACCAGGCTGTATTGTATTAACCATGGGGAGTGGAGGAGTCCTATACACACTACCTAGGGAAGAAAGAAATGGAGATGACTCAGTTAGTGTGCATCACATACCTGCAGAGCCTGTTAATGTTGTTGATACTACAGTAAGGAGACTTGAGAGATGAGAATAGAGATGATTTAAGTTCAACTTTATAGGGAGCAGGTGATGCATTTGTAGGAGCACTGGCATATTACATAGCAAGACACTCCAGTCTTAGTTTTTCGGAGAAGATAAGAAGATCCTCACTCATTGCCACACACACTGTTACACTACCAGGAACACAGACCAGCTTCCAAACACACACCCTCCCTAAAGAACTCATGGTATCCTGAGCATATAATTATGACATATGATATAATAATTATGCTTGCAGCATTTACATTTTCCTGACTAATTTCAAAAAATAAACAAGAGTATTATTTATAATAATAATAAAATCTATCTATGTGAACACAAAGCTAGCTCCTCCCTTAGTAACAGCAGGTATCATGATCATACAATAAACTGCAAAAAGCAAATGAAAGGAGGCACTCATAAGTAGAAAATAAGAATACAATTGAGTCCTTTGTATCTGCATGTAACAAGTAAGACTGATAGCTTGAAACCTCACAATATGATTCGAAGCAGTGACCTGTATCAGCCCAGC